CGCGAGTCACTGAACGGCGATCGACCAGGCCGCCATCACACGCCGCCGACTCTTCTAGATAAGAATGATGGCGTCCACTACCACATGGAACGCCTTGTGGGTCGACGTCGTCGACAGGGTCGAGCCAAATATCCTGAGAAGTGACGAAGAAGCCCGGACTCCTAGAACTCATGGGATCTTGAGGTGCCACTTCAGCAAGACTGCCTAAATGTCGTGGACGCTCATGGTCACAGGAATCATGACGCTTCGCGGCGGCGTGCGCCCCGCGCCTCTCGACAGGCTCCCAGGAAAATCGGAGAACCATGATGTGAGCTCAAGCTATAGCCCTGAGCTGCCGTGGCTGTAGACTTAACCATGTGAGAAACCACAGAGCTTCGGGGAGCGTGATGGATGATTACATGTGTCGCAGGGCGAAAATACGCAGAATGATGGCGTTGCGTCCTAGGTTTGATAAAATCAAATCAAAGATGGCGATCTACGCGCCCGTTCAATTACTTGTAGTTTCGCTGTACGGTAATCAGCGAGAAAAGTTTCTGGTGCCGCTGCACCCATCGCTCAACAAGCTCCTCATCATCTGCAGCGGTTTCGCCAAGGGCGAGCTCCACAGAAATCGTCCACATTGCGAATACAGGAGCGTCTAATTTTTGAGCTCGTAGGTCGAGCGCGGCACTATTCAATGGTTTTTATTGGGATACCAAAAAGCAAATTCAGAGAGCCTTCCGCTGGTCAAGCTTAGCTTATGTAGTGGCCGGGGCTTCGACTACATAGACGCTTAACGATCGAGTTATCGTGTCTTTCGCTTCAGTAGCAAGATCCCTCGAGCGGAAGCCGTATTCAACACGAGGGTCTAGGACCAAATATCGATTTTGGCGCATGAGAGCTGCCCTGTGGGCAGCCTTCAACTGCTGCTTCTGCCTCTCGAAAGGGCGATTGGTATTAATACCACTTCCCCCAGAAGTCGAGAGGTAGGGGAACGGGCACAGTGTTCACAAGGTTCGAGCTGGGCTCACGTCGCGCCATTGGCACAACTCATTCCCCTCGCCTTTCAATCCTGGAAAAGGAGTATCCAACGTATAGTCACGAGGAAATTTGTCGCCCGGGCGGGCGCTGTGTGTGGCGCTCGGTTGCCGAGGTCTTGAGATTTGCTTTCTGCGAAGTCGCGGACGTAGTGTTCGGAGATGCACCCCATTTAGAAGAAGAAGATGATGATGATGAAGAAGAAAAAATGCTATGTCATCGGGCGCCCACGGAACCATCTAGGCTGGGCCCTTTCGTGTCATAGACACAGGGCTAAATGAGCGGAGAATGTTCAAAGATGTCTTAGAGACGTCATGATGTCTCAGACGCGCGAGGCGGGTTACACAAGATGGTGTGACCGTACGTAGGTGGGGATTACACAAGTTGATGTAATCACAAAATGGTGTGGCTACACCGTAACAAGAAGCCGCTACATTACTACTGGCAGTCCTGCCAGTAACAAGTTTGAACTATATTAATTAGGTAGTACTATAAAACCTAAGGGTTTTGATATTGGCGGCTCTGCCGCAAATAAAACAATTAAATACAATGTCAATATTGAACGGAAGAGCGTCTTTACCTTAGTAAATATAAGATTTTAAGAACTGTTGGAGGTAGCGGATTGCGATCCGCTACACTCGTACTGGTTCTTGAAAAGAGCGAGAGGTCGGCGGCCTGAGCTTAGTTTTCTTTTAGCAAAAGGCTACGGCAGCCCCGCTGCACTTTGCATAAGCAACCAGCTCGTATATTCGGCTGTAGGTCAAGATTGTGCATATAAAAGTGAATTGCATTCTTGATACATGCTCTTGGAACTGCGATTAGGGACATCCAACTATTTTTCTTACGGTCATGTGTTCGTAAATCGTCCAGCCCTCGTATTTTTATAATTTTGTATGATATTGTTTGCTATGGGTACTTTGGATTTTGTATAGAATTTGCTCTTACAAAATGGGCCCTTCTATCGTAAGCAGAGTGTATGTACATCGGATAGGATAATAATTAATGCTTTAATGTTTCTGCCTACCTTATATGCTTATATGAGCTTATCTATTTCCTAAGAAATTCTCTAGAATTTTTTATAATATTGCGATATTATCACGGGTTTTGTGAGTACGATGGATACGTTCTGTACTTCAGTGCATGCATGCATTACACTTCTATGTATTTGTTCGAAGTAGACGTCACTCTTTGATGTATTTCTGCAATACTAGATTTGTATTAATGAGGTCGATGGTCAGATGGGCTGTTGACCTCACGCCAAACGATAGTGAAAATCTAAATACGGATTTAATAAAATCGTATATATATACGTATTTAGATTTTATTAGGATACATGTCACTCCTTAGAATAGAAAGAAACCAAAAATTTCAGGTGCTAGAGAAGCTCTCTGTTCCTTCCTCTTGTCTCAGGATAGGAAAGTATGTAAAGAAATGGACTCGGCGCCAAATACCAAATATTGCGTCACTTGGCAATGGCATATACAAAGAAAAAGGTGTGACGTCATCGACGCTTTTTATGCAATGTATGCAAAGCATAAACCAGGTATGCTGCGAGGAGAAAATTTTCTTGCTTGGCGCCGAGTTTCCGAGTCCGAGAGGCAACGGCAAGTGACAAATTTTGCATGCTTGGATTTATGTCAATACAAAACGATTTCGTTGCAAACATTGATTATATCGAAAGAATGTTTTGTTCTGCTTCATTTTGTCCAGTTTTGTCGAGCGGACTGATAATTATCCTCAACTTCACATGAGACACAGCGATAAGCCTCTTCCTGCGGTAAGACCTCCGGGCGGAGCTGTCTGGTCGTGTCACATGGGCTGTTCGAAAAAACTGCGATGTCAATCGCACGGTGACACTGTTTTCAAATTCACATCGTGCCTGTGCACAATCCTATATCGAGAATATATTTGTCCATACTCGCGCAGGCCTACATAAGACACTAGAGAGCAGTGTATCGAGTGCATACGTTTGTTTTTCTACCCACCAGTATACTCAATCGTGAAATCGTTGTCAGCGATTTTTCTTGTCTGAGCAACTATACCGGGACGTATGGCGTGCAGTCGGCCACACAAAAGAAATACTATCGTTTATTGGCAAGTGCTTCTGTGACAAAGCGCTTTATCAAGCGATCATTTGCTTGCACAAATGAGATATAAACTATGTCGACATGGCACGGCTAACCTTCAAATAGCTGTAAAATAGTGGCGGGTGCGACAGAAGGGGCGGTATTCAAGGCTGAAAAGGGCATAGTATACCCTAATTCTGGCTATTCCAAATTCAAATCGTTATTTGATATCGTCTGTAACGTTTCAGGCGTTGTCGTGGGCTGTGCATTACGGCGGGTAGATGACAATGGGCATGCACACATCACCATGTTTCAGTTTCGCTAGCTTAAATAGGGTTGCCTAGCTCGGATTGGACATAATATGCAATAAATTATGTGCTTAAAATGTTCAGATTGTACCTGCTTGACTCTCAGACACTTGTAATATGTACAGATCACGCTTCACTGTGCACAGCGACGTTGTCATTGTATCTTTCAAAGAGAAAAGCACGATTATTAAAAGAGTATACTGGTATAAAAACGGGTAAGTTTCAATGTGATAGTGGATGCTCTTCTACCACTCCGATTATGCGCTGTTGCAGGTCTCAATGATTGAGCTGATGAGGCGAATGTCACAAAACAAGCGTTAGATGCAAAAAGAGCTGTGTTGCTGAAACACTGGGAGGCAGAGATGTTGAGAAATTAGATGCTGCTTTATCGAAGCGTCTGTCTAAACGCTTGCATGATATCCTTGCCGAAAGCTTGCTATAATACACACTGACCCATCTGATTCTTAACGTGTGGTGAGAGGTCATGATGAGGATTTCAAAAACAATATACTGCACAAGGCACATGATTACTCCACTAGAGGTCGCCTCAGCAGAGAAAAGGATTATAGTTATGTTCTCGTAGCCAGCATGTCTCAATGGGTCAAACGTTATGTGCACATGTGCAATACAGGTCAGCGAGATTACCCTTTGCCGCATACGATTATACTTTTGGCAAATCTGCCACTCGCGGCAGATTGTTGGTAGTCCACTAGCATAGACATTGTTCCTGGCCATTTAAAAGTTCGTCTAGTAATACCGACATTGTGTTCTTTGTGGTCCATCTGGCTAACATGCTTCATTTCACTACTATCAGCGATGCCGCCCTTCAATTTTCGCCGACATCACTTGCCGGTGATAAATGAGACGAAGAAAAATCACGCTTTCAGATAGGTTTTGTCGAACGTTGTACAAGGTGCTAGATATCAGATCAGACACGACAACAAGGGATCATTATTGAAAAAGTGGTGAGACGAAACGCTGTATTTGCGTCATAGATAATGTTTTCAAATCACTAGCACGTAGATCTCGTACTACCAGAGCAAGTTGCTCATATTCATTGAGGCTGCAAAGTATATGGCAGTTTATTCCTTCACAGGCTTTACTCCACTATTTGAAAATGGCTTCGTTACCCCCGGTTCTTTTTGACACCACCAACGTTTAGGAGAAAAATTGTTGATTTTCATTCAAATTGCTCGGACTATACTTCGTATCAAAGTCATAATTTTATCTCAATGATTATGTGTGTCACGCGCCGACGCACGGTATGTTTATAAGCCGCATATTGATGTCAGAGGCAGACGAAACACACAACTATTTGCATTAAGATATAAAATATTTATTAATTGCTACTAATTTTTAGCACAAGCAGCTCCTGGAGTCTATAAGACTAAGCTGTTTTTTAGCTACATCATCTCGCTCGGTCGTAGTAAAAACAGGATAAAGTCTAACTTTCAAAAACTCAGACAGGTTGTGTTCACAAACTGTGTTTTACGTGGGCTTGTAAAAGCATATCACGATCTTGGTTTACGGATGTGAAATGCTCTTCTGAAATGTGAACAATATCGCAGATATCTTCTGTATTGAAGCTACGTGCTGCTTTCGAGAAGTGATGAGGCTAGGAGCAGCTATGGGCGCCTCAGCTACGCATTGTGGTCGGGTAGTTCTAAGCAAACGGCTGAAAAACGGTGCATCCTAAGCTTGGACCGAACAAAATTCTTGGGTGATCAGCGTGCCTTCCCAAATTAGAGATGTCAGTCACAAGGTGGGGGTAATTCTCAGCGAGCGCTGCTCGCAGAACATGAGATGGTCTACTTTCAAGTAAAAACACTAGCAAGTACATAGACCATATTATCACCTGCATCTAGTCAAGCGGATGGACACGCTCACTCCGAGTAGTCTGAATAATTCTGGCAAACGTCCGCTGATAATCTCGTGGACCTTGGTCGAATTCCCACTGGAGGAGTGGCTGGAACGCCCGTCGTAGTGCTTTCCAGGACCGAGTTTGTTTGCAAGATTCAATCTTGTTGCTGGCTGTTATAGTTGTTTCATGAGGATGGGATAGACTGTGAGCAGCAGAACTTGGAGTTGATGATTTTCTATCTTATCGTTCACGTTATGCTTCGATCATTGCAAAGTCAAGTGTTATCAATCGCGCCAACAAAGACCCATCTGACCTGTAAAGCTGTTAAACGGGTAGAGCGACGCGCCTTATCCACTTATTGCTCAAGAACATTTTAGACCAGGTCCATCCCCTAGGAGAAGATGAAATAATACTACCACTATTGTCTCAAGCACAGGTGTTAACCCTGCAAGTGGTCGCATATTGTAAGAGGCTATCCGAGACATCCCCAACCGCACGCTTGCGATTTAGAGGAAGACTTCCTTCTCAACGATGCAGTAAAACTTTTCGTTTATTACAATTACATGATTAATACCACTAAAGCTCCTAGTAGTTATACGTACAAAGCCTACACAGGCCAAATAAAACCTTTGAAACTGGAAAAACTAAGGTCGGACCCAGGGAAACATTGACAAACTTGCATTCGAGATGACACCTGCGTGAATAGCAATTTAAAATGGCTAAGACACGTTGATATCATCACTAGTGTAGATTCCTAAGAAATAGTCATTATTTTAAAATTAATTAGTCTAAAGAGATTTGTATTATTATTCAATGATGTAACACGTGCCTGCGGGATCAGACCCCTTTGTTATTTGGCATTTAGTTGCTCGTCGAAGGTAATGTGTACCACATAGCTGCATCTTTATGTGATAACGAGGTATGTCTCATTAAATTTTTGGTTTAAAAATACTCGTAAATCGACTTCACGCCCTCTTTTCGCTGTCCGCTTGACTGAAGGACCCGCACACTTGGGCGCGTAAGGGCTCCGCGCCAAAATAGAAAGCACTGTGAATAGCTTATTACCATAACCTCTGCGCGATCGAGCTTGCGAAGCAATTTTGACTCAGGTACTGTGAAAGGCAAAAATTAGTTTTCTGGATCATATCCAGCTGTTTAGCGACAAGCTTGACGTCGTCGTGAGTCTTACAGCGGGTTGTTGAAACATCTTCCGGTATCGGGCACAGATTGCGTAGCTCGGGTAGAGTGGGGTCGGAGCGGAGAGAAATCCTTAACGTCTGTGAGCGTATTGATGAATCGTCAGGTTCCATGAGAGTAGGCGTGTGAGGATTAAAGGGTCTCCGCAATCAATGTCATCGAATACGACCTCATATTGTTTTTCAAAATTAACGCAGCTTTAGAGACCAAATCGCGGGTACGTACATAATCCTACTTCGGCAATATCTTCGTGTGTAGTTGTCCAAACATAGATATAAACTAAGCATTCTTAGGCAGTGATCAAATGTATGACTTGGGATAAGCTGTCGCCAATATCTACAAAACTGTCTTTTATGTCGCCGTGATCACAATTATGGGTTACCTCGTCGAAAAGTATGGTCTGCGGGAAGATCAAGTGGCTTCTTTGTGAGAGCAGCCTTTCACATAGGCTAACCATTTTCACTAAGCACATGACGGTGGACATGAGTCCGGCGTATTGTCTTAATCTCGCCAAGCCTGTTCAAAATAAATTTACTTTATCTATTTGTTATCGAATATGATCTTGTCAGTTAAAATGCTCCTGCTTGACTTTTATCCATGTGAGATCTGTATTGATTATGCAGCGTTACGCACAGCGATGACGTCACAATAAATTGGCAAGGTCGTAATCCTTTTTTGCCGAGTGTACTTTCAACGCATTGTATATGCTGAGTCGTCCAATGTGGTGTTGTGTGCTATCACGACTCCCCACGTATTCGGCATCGCATGATACGACGGTGTCGTCGCTGAATGTTAGGAGATACATATAGCTTGCGAGTCAAATACATCATTGGTGTACTATTGAAAGTGTTGGGAATTACGAAGATTGTAAATACAGATGTCTCTCATGAAATTATTTTGTTGCAAGTTTGTATAGCTGATATTTATTTCAAGGCTTGCTGCATTCAGCACTAACCGTCAATGTACTGTGCTCCATCCTGATGAAGAACTCGCGGTTGCCTATGAAAAGAGAGAACATACTAATCAGGAGCGCTATGTACTGCTGGTCCATGGATAAGCGGGTAAGCATGAAACCATGTATGGAATTCGTACAGCAGGTCAAACCCGCACGAATATGTCAGCGCTATAGGCCATTCTGCCTGTTCCGGCTGAAGATTGGAATCCAAACGTGCGGACTTTTGGTCCTCCAAGAGTTCTTCGAGTCATACCACCGACGCGGTCTTTGTGGTTGGTCTTCGAAAAATAGCCTTTGTCGATGCTGTCAGCATAACTGTTATCTGTGAGAGTTCAGCAAAGTTGTCCTGCGGCAAAATTATCCATCAAAATGGCTAGCCGGTGGAGATTGTCTTAGATTCAGATCGGCCCTTTAAAGCGGCATTTTGACCACTTTGGTAAAAATATCCCAGGCAATAGGTTAATCACCAAATATGTTACAGACAGATGGACAGACAAAAAGTGTATAGTGTGCCATCGGAGGCACTTGCGTGGAAAAATCGCAGTGCTTCGACAAATCATGTTGTCGGAAAACGTCGTCGCAGAATAAGTTAGTTGAATTTCATTGGTTACGAAAACATTGATGGCAGCAAGATGGGCTATCGTACTCAGACCGTCCACAAAAACCACAAAGCCGGTATTATTAGACGAACAATACACGAATCATTGAGTATAGAAAAGCAGACATATCACTTGGAAATTTTAAAAGGCCGCACGTAAGGACAACTAAGAACCGGCAACTGACCGAAAGCACCGACGAGTGCGAGAGAATTAAGTCGGATTGTACACGTTCAAACTTACGAACAAAATTAGAATGGAGCAAGCATGTAATTAATTCGACACAACGCCTCATAATGTAGTGAAGATTGCTGCCAGCAACTTTCGTTTTTCAGACAAAAATTCTGGCGCAAATGCATTCACGACGAATGCACCTAATGCGATTATTGGAGAGATGTTATTTCAAAAATAGAAGAGCAAAGTAAATCCCATTGTGCACTATCCATCTGACCCGATAATGACACGTCATTTACGGAATTTGCAAAATTTGGCAAGGTTCAGTTAATTTAATGGGTTCCTATCGAGAGTCGACAACGGCTAATGCAAATGGAGTAATTTGAGTCGCAAAGGATATACAAATGTTTGGCTCCGTAGCACCTAGTTGTAGCATCCCTGTACCAAATTCGCCTTTCTCGGCACGGCAGTTGTTCTATACATAAATTCCTATTTTAAACGATTTAGGATGAACGCGTAAGGTCCCAGCGCGATCTGAACCTGCTCAAAGCTCTTTATAAAGATAGTGCGGAAAAGCGCCTCGGTAGCTGCATATGCTACATCTGTTGAAGCCACGCCTTGCGTGTCACCTCCTTCTTTCAATGAAAAGTACGAAGGTCAAGCCATCGGGCAGAGTCGGTCGATATACTTCCCTTGGAGATAATACCGAGTTTTGAAGGCGTAGGACGGCCCAGTGGAAAAGAAACGATTTTTTATGTCTCGCTGTGGTTAGTACCGCCGGAATTTAGCTTTACGGAAGCAATAGTAAAAATTAGTTGCCGCACATCTTGGGCAGGTTTGCGCATGGATGGGTCTAAATGTTGTTTCTAGTATATGAGACATTTTTTCAAGATATCCAATACTTTTCAGTTGCGCAAGATTTGCTGGTATCAAAGCCTTAATTATCGCATTAGAGAGCAAGCGGCCCAAGTGGGACACGGACTTCTTTTGCAGCTTCCATCAGCTGCGTACTATATCATGATATTCCACCGTGGTACTCCATCACTCTGCTTTAAAATTTGGCTTAAAGTCCGAATAAATAATTCACGTAGGCCCGTGCAGACCAAGACGTGAATACCTTTTGGATTACAAAGTGTATGGCTTAACCCGAGACTCAATAAACTCGCTTCAGTGCGAGCTTTGCGAGCTCAAACACACCAGGATTTCCAGAGATAGCTTGACAAACGCCAATATGGAAGTGACTTATGCGGTCGGCGCCAGGAAAGTCATATTTGACGAGACAAGCGAGGTGCACTTTGATAATCCACGTGACTTATCAACTTCTACGCTACATCTGATCCACTACCATGGGCTTCACAGCCTTGCCGCCCCACAGAAGCTTGAATATCCTCAACGTCCATAATCCCTTTTTGCGCGAGCTGAAAATACGCTCTTCTTGGCCAAGCAAAGGGCGGTAAACCTCCGATACGAGGCCGGCGATAAGGTCAGTTTGATTTTATCGTAGCTAGGTCTTGTCCAAAGAGATTAATCATCTCAGCGACAAACACACAAGAAAGTTTAACTCATCGCGACAATGGGTTTGGTAGATTCGATCCGACGAAAACAGTTCGACGTGCCGCAGCACACACCAGCCACTTTTTGGGCTGGTGTACAGCTCAGTTCGAGCGCGGAATGCTCACGCGCGACTCACTTTTCTAGCGTTTTCTGCCCCCAGTTTACAGCTTTTAAATATGACTGCTGACGGAAAATCAGCCGTAATAATGGCTGCTTACATGGTACTGAATTCTCTCAATAAGAGCCGAAAATTTTACGGCGCGAAACGCTTATCGGTTTTGCGGAAAAATAAGCAAATTCATAGAAAGGAGCCCACTAACTGCTTCAATTCGCATCCTGAGGCACAAAGACAACGACTAGGCCCTCTAGTCCGGTTTATGCAGAATTCAGTCGCGGTCATGTCCACAAACCATGCTGATACAGTACCGCCAATGACTCGGACTGGGACAAGACCAGACCTCTCTAGCCATTTGCGCACTGTGCCGTGAAGCATGGAAAGAGATGATAGAACATTTCGAGTTATAGCGATTCTATAGAAGTACGACAGAAATTCGCCATCCAACTAAATACTACTCACAAATTCATCGAGCCATAAGCTTTTAACATGAATGTGGACCTTGCCTATCTCATCATGCACGCTTGAGCTGGGATAAATTTTGCGCGGTGAGCTGCTTTGGAGTTTGGACATGAGAGAGCGTGTTGGTTACTCTAAGGGCTTATTGTGCGTCTGTCCAGAAGTCGATCGGACGCTAACGTACACACCCGAGATCGGATCTATCATGCTAACGATTTGAAAAGTGAACGTCAACTTTAGCAAAATGAGCGTTAGCTACACATTTTTGCTGTGACATCGATTCATTTTCAACGACACGCTTCCCGTCTGAGTGGCTCAAGAAATGGGGATACGACTTTCGTTGGACCACACAAATTGGGCTGTGTTTGCATTCTGTTTGGTAGGTTAAAAGCATAAGCCAATCGCTTCATGGCTACGACTGCAAAGGCTCAATGCAGTGAGGGTGCAATTTGTTTTCAAACTGCATCTCCTGCATACGTCTGTAGATTAATCAAACATAAGAACTTTATCTCTAGCAGCAAATGTATGTGTATCATCTGCCCCCGATCTTCATGTTGATTTTGCATATCCTGCCTGGGTTGTTCGCCATAGAAACATCCGCATATCACAGTCCCGTTGAGACAGATTTCTCAATTTTCTACATGGTAGCACAACCAATATCCACGAATTGATTAGTATCGACAACCTCTCCCTCACCATGCTCAAAGTCACTTAGTGGATCTGTCACAAGAAGTGGGGAACTGCTACGATATGTTCTGAAATATTTAGACGCAAGTGTGGCGCCTTTCACGTACGCTCAATGCGTGGGACGGTTACACTTCAGCAAACCATTTTTTGCGCAAGTGTTATGTAGAATATCATCCACCACATGATCAGCGTATTCAGCCGTGGATTTGTCTGGTAAAGGAATATCAAAAAGAGAGGCAACGTTTTGACAGTAAGGATGTCGCAATCAGCAGCAAGATAAGCACTTTTGCACAGCCGTTTTACAACGAGCACAACGCCGGTATTACTTGAAGCGTCCTTGATTATATCAAAAATGAAGTGTATCTTTTATGGCTGCCAACATTGCGCAAGCCAGCATAAGCAATAAAAGGATGCGTCAAGGATCTTTCTTTGACACCGTGAACAATCTTGCACATAAGCTCTTACCCATTTTGTGGATGTTGAGCTACCAGGAGGTATAACTTCCCGTACCGTGATGTCATCTACCAGGAAAAAAACAATATTACATATACAAATCCCCAAAATAAGATATCACCGCACATAGTATATCAAATGGATGGGTGCTGCAATTCAGCAAGCGATGAAAACACTTAGCTGTATAAATGCGATTGATATGCTTGGATAGCTTAATATATGAGTTTAG